ATTGTCCTGATGCTTCATCCAGCACAGGACCATACACAGGTCTTTCTTAGGATTTTTCTTTCCTAAACACATAGTCTCTCTTCGTTTGCCTTTGTTATCGTCCACGTTTCGCTTCCATACATCACAACGGTTCGTATGATTGTTTTATAGACCTGTATCTTCGTACGTCGTGTTAGTTGTTTCGATTTTATAAGGTTTTGGAGGGCAAAAAGACATCTGTTGCCGGCCTGAAGCCGATGTTGTTTATTTCTTGTGATCCGTTATTGTCTTCAGTTATTGTTGTTTCAAGATACTTGAATTTTCTAACGCGCTTAAAGTTAAAGTCATCGATGGTGATATTCTGACCGATTCTGTCTCTGCTTTGGTTATTGTGGCTCATATACATATATTTCGTCTTGTTTTAGTTGATTTGGAGCCCCATCTTCTCTGCTTCCTTCTCGAACCTCACGAAAGTCTCCTTCATCCTTAATTGTATGTTTCCTATTAGGTCGATATCGTCTGCAAATGCCAGGAGTAAGTTTGGTCCTTCTCAATGAAATACTGTATTGGGTTTTACGATTCTTGCACTTCTGATTATGTGCTCCAGAGGTAAGTTGAAGAGTTGTGGTGAAAGTGCATCTCCCTGTTTTAGTCCATTGTTTATTTCAAATGTGTCCGAGTATTTTTGTCCAACTTTCACCTTACATCGTAACCGTTCCATACACATCTGTATCCACCTGATTAGTTTTTTTGGAAAGCCAGGTTCCTGCATCGCTGTCCACTGTCTGCCCCTGCATACTCTATCAAATGCTTGTTTAAAATCTATGAACATCTAATGAAGCTCACGATCAAACTCAGCATTTTTCCATTATCTGTTTTATTGTGAATATCTGGACAATAGTAAAGCGGCCCGGTCTAAATCCGCATTGATAATCTCCAACGATTTCTTCTATGTATGTTTTGGTTCTTTCTAGGAGGATGTTTGCAAGGATTTTGTAGGTGGTGTTTAGGAGTGTTATTCCCCTGTAATTAATATATTGCTTTTTGTTTCCTTTTTTTGTATTGGTTTAATAACCCCTTCTTTCCATTCATCTGGCATTTTTTTTTTTTCGCCAAATGTCTTGAATTAGCTTGTATATAGAACTATACAACGCTTCTCTTCCATGTTTTAAGTACTCTTCTAAAAACAGTGAGGAATATTTTGAAAAGAAATAACTACCATTGTTATAATGTGCAGACAACTCAAGAAATATTTCCTGATGATCAATTTAAACGGATGCAATTTTGTGAAATTATGATGCAGAGATGCCATGCAAATAATAATTTTTCGGAAAATATTCTGTTTACAGATAAGTCCTCCGTTACAATTCACAAGAAACATAATCCATCCATTGTATGCTATTGGTCTCAGGAGAATAAGCATTTGAGTATGTCTGTGCGTACGCAGTATCCACAAAAGTTAAATGTTTTGACTGGAATTTTGGGAGACCATATTATTGATCCTTTTTCATTGAATGCAATTTAAACGCATTCAAATATCTCCAATTACTCCAAAATCAAATTATTCCTGCATTTCAACGTCTTCAAATTAACTTCAACATAATTTGGTTTAAACAAAACGGCTGTCCTGTACATAATGTAAAATACGTTAGAGACTATTCGTTAATTTATGCTGAACGTGTCATTAGTACAGATGGTACAATAAAATGACCCCCTCAGTCACCCGACTTAGCTCCTCTAGTTTTTTTTATTTTTGGCGGATGCTAAAAACGAAATTGTACAGGCGTGAGTTCGAGAGACCACCAACTTAAAGGAAGTAAAGGAAAAGATACTCCAACTTAGCCAAAACATATCGGCAAATGAACTCAACGCTAAGAGAAATTCGTTGTATAATAGATTTGGTTACTGTTCGTTACAATTTAGTAGTCTGTTTGAGCATTTAATTACCTAAGAATTCTATTTGGTTTAGAATTTCTAATTGTTTGGGATTATTTTTAATTTAAACAGTAGTATTGGAATTATTTTTTATTTAATATTATTTTTATAGAACACATTTTATACTTTTATACTAATTTTATCTTTTTTTTTTGTTTTATTTTTATAGAACTAATTTTTATTTTCACACCTACTACCTCCAAAAAATCTAAACAAAAATATGGTTTCAAACATATTATTTGGAAAATACCAAATAATATCTTATTTTTCACTCTCCCAAACAATTTTCCACTACCAGAGGCGTCTAACAAGAAGACACAATATCACCAAATCTCTTCACTGCAACTCTAGCAAATATATTCAGCAAAATGAACTTGCAGAGTAAAGGCCTATCCATTGATGGAGAATACCTCAGCCATCTAAGATTGCAGACGATATTTTTCTAATAGCTAATAATCCTGTAGAATTACAAGAGCTTATAAGCAATCTAAATGCTGCTAGTCATAAAGTTGGCCTAACAGTAAACTTGACAAAAAAAACCATGTACAACAAGCTGGTGGATGTGCTAGATGTAATAATTAACGACACTGCACTTGAGACAGTAGACGAGTATGTATTCCTGGCACAACTAACTCACAAATCTGAGTCCTTAGTTAAAGACTATAAAATCATATATGGTAATGCTCACAACTAAGTACGATTCCGGTGTAAGTTCCCCAATCGGATCTCCGGGATGGGGGGGACAGTTATGAGTACCTATGAAAAAGAAAAAGCAGCAAAACCACAATATTTAAAATTTTGCACATGGAATGTTAAAACTATGGCAAGGAGTGGAAAAATAGACAATGCCATTCAGGAAATGGAAAGAATGACCATTGACATAATGGGAATAAGTGAGATGAGATGGCCCGGAACAGGAAGCATTGACAAAAAAGATCACAGAATATTGTACTCAGGGTCACTAGATGGAAAACTAGAGCATGGAGTTGGTGTTATAATGAGAAAAATTAGTAGATGTATTTTAAATTTTGTCCCAGTGTCCAACAGAATAATACTACTGCAAAAAAGAGCCAATCCAGTGAATGTAAACATAATACAAATATACGCTCCCACTGCAGATAAAGACGACGAGGAAGTAGAGACTCTCTACCAAAGCATAGAGGGTATATTAGAACGAATACCTAAACATGAAGTCAGCATCATAATGGGGGATTTCAATGCAAAACTCGGGGCCGAACGGAAAAGGTCTCTAATCGGACCTTTTGGGTTAGGACAAAGAAACGAAAGAGGTGACAGACTAGAAATATTCGCAGAAGATAACAAGCTAGTGGTTCTGAACACATCTTATAAATTACCACCGAGCAGATTGTATACATGGAAGGCACCAGCAGATAAACTCCATAACGTAATTAGAAACCAGATAGATTATATATTGGTAAATAGAAGATTCAGAAACAGTTATAAATCTGTCAAAACATATCCAGGAGCGGACATTGAATCTGACCACATACCTTTAGTGGGAGTCATGGATGTGAGACTGAAGACAATAAAGAAAAAGTCTAGACCTAACTACGACATGACAGCCCTGCAACATCCGGAAGTTAAAAAGCAAGTGGGGGAATATATTAACAACCAAGTTAAACAACTAAAAAAAGAAAATAAAGGAAGGTTAATTAAAGGAAATAAAGATGAGTATAAAAAAATGCAGGCTTACATCAGAAGAAAAATAAGAGTAGCTAAAGAAAAAGAAGCTGTAGAGAAATGTAAAGAAATAGAAAGACTACAAGCCAAGCATGACAATTTTAATGTACACAAAAAGGTAAAAGAAATAACGGGTACTTTTAAAAAGCGAACACAAATGAAACTCATAGACACCAATTGGAAAATTAATCATTGACACCCAAGAGATGAACGACAAATGAAGAATATATTTGGAGACACTTTTTCAAGAGCAAAGAACGGATTATAGGCATCCATTTTCAGAGAGGATGACGGCCCCGAACATACTTAGATCTGAGGTAGAAGAAGCAATAAAACGGATGAAAAGCAGGAAAGCTGTGGGGCCTGATAATATCGAAGCTGAATTTTTAAAACTCTTGGAGGAAGAAGGAATAAATTGGATCACGGCTGTCTTCAATAAAATATACAATACAGGAATCATCCCTGATAAATGGCTAGGATCAGAATTCATAGCGATACCTAAAAAACAGGGGGCTAAAAAGTGCGAAAAATATCGAACAATAAGCCTAATGAGCCACATGTTGAAATTGTTTCTTAGAGTCATCCATGGAAGAATTTATAAGAAGTGCGAGGAACAAATATCGGACAGACAGTTAGGCTTCATTAACGCAGTGGGTATCAGAGAGGCACTTTTCGGAGTACAGGTACTGATTCAAAGATGCAGGGACGTTAACTGCGACGTATACGCGTGCTTGATCGACTATGAAAAGGCATTTGACAGAGTTCAACATCAAAAGATGATAAACATTTTAAAAGAGGCAGACCTGGATGACAAAGACCTCAGAATAATTTTAGAACTCTACTGGAATCAGACTGCATACATGAAACTTAATGGAGAAGAAACAGATCACATAAAAATACTACGTGGAGTTAGACAGGGATGTATCCTATCGCCGTTGATATTTAATATGTACTCAGAAAAAATTTTTAACGAGGCTCTTTACGGAATAGACGAAGGCATCCTTCTAAATGGTGAAAGAGTAAACAATGTTAGATATATATATATATGAATGAAATGAGGTTGAATGCTCGAATAAATGAACTTTGAAAATAAGGCTATTATCGAGCACAAGTTAATTAAATCTAGCCCAAGTACTTTCGCTTAAAATAGCATCTTCAGGGGCATTTCGTCAAAATGTGAACTATCCGGCAAGCGTAGAGTGTGGAAACATTAAAAATAACATAAATTGTACAAAACACTACACTAAAACGAGGACAAACAGTTTAAAATTACTTCTACGCTACATTCTCTGTCAGTATCTGGAGGGATAATAATTATATCCAACATATTAAATAAATTGATCCTTACCTTCCATTAATATGTGTTCGCTAGGCATTTGTTCAACTTTTTTATACAACTGCTCATATCGCTCAATTTCTTCTTTAAATTGGTCAATTGTAGGAGGGGTCTCTTTGATCGGATGGGGATTATTTTCATCATTCATTTGTTCTTGCTCTTCTATCGTCAATGGTCTGGCGTAGAGAAGAAACTCCCGCAAGTACTGATTTCTATCTATTTCCCACAAATGAGTGTACTGGTCAAAAGACTTTAGGTAATCTATGGCCGCTTCCATGCCAAGGACTATTCTGCCGCAAAAATCTACATTTTTAAATTCAAGATCTTCGTTGTCTCTTGCTATCTCGTAGAAACTTTCAGTATCATCGGGATCAACTCTTATCAGATAGTTTCCCATACCAAATATATCTTCAATTATTGCCTCCATATTACTAAGAAAATTTTTCGGGTCTGTTATATCTGCAGAAGGAACATAAACAATAATTTGATCACGAAGTTCCATCAATAATTCCAAAAATGGCGACATCGCAGGTGAATCTCCAGTTTCTAGTAGAAAGAGTAACAGATTTAAGTTAATAGCCGACAAGAGTTTATTCTTTATCATATTATCAATATCTTTTAGATAAGGTTCCCATAACATCTGTTTCTTAACCCGTAACATTTTAAGTTCCTCGATCTTGTTTGCTTCTTCTTGCTCTCTTGCAATTTGTGAGTCTGTCTTTTTAGGAGGCGGTGGTACTTTTGTTTTGGCTTTCGTTTTGGGTGTTAATTCTTTTTTGTCCTTGCCCTTTTTTTCAACCTGTACAACAGGTTCTTCGGGTGGTATAGACTCTTCTTCCTCATCTTCCGCTAAATTATCAAGTGGTTCCAGATTACAAAGTAGAAAGTAATTTTCTCTTAGAGCGTCTTCTAGCTGTAAGCTGCATTGGGTTATTTGGTCGTAACGTTTTTGACAACGCTCAGCTCTTTCGTCGATGCACAGCAAATTTTCTTTCTTGCCGTCCTTACGTTCATATAAAGGTTTAGTGGACCATTCTGTAATAGCAGCCATAAGATTAGTTATGTTCATTTGGGCTTTTTTCACACGATCTGTAAGTTGTTTAGTAGACTCGTATACTTGTCTGACGATGTTTGGATCTGTAAAAAATAAGAATGGGGTTAATAAGGTGTTGACAAATATGATACTCAGATTTATGAAAATGTAGTCAAATTAATACAATCGATACAGACGATACTGATCAAACAAAAGAGATTAGATGTAGAATAGAAATCGCTAGATCAGTCTTTAATAGAACGCGCAAACTCTTTTGCAATCGTGATATCAATATAAAGTTACGAATACGAATGCTGCGGTGTTATGTCTTTTCTACCCTGTTATATGGAGTTGAGGCTTGGACACTAAAACAGTTGACCATAAAAAACATCGAAGCTTTCGAGATGTGGTGCTATAGGCGCATTCTCAGAATATCATGGATGGACCGCGTCACTAACACGCAAGTACTCCAAACTTTAGACAAAAGATGCAAAATTCTAAATGAGATAAAAACTAGAAAAATGAAATACTTGGGGCACATTGTGAGAGGTGAAAAGTACGAACTTTTAAGAAACATCATGCAGGGCAAAATTAAGGGCAAAAGAAGTGTGGGAAGAATATAAATATCGTGGCTTCGTAATCTACGTGAATGGTTCGGGTGTAGTTCGATTGAACTTTTTAGGCGCACTGCTAACAAAGTCGCAGTGGCCATGATGATTTCCAATCTCCGCTAGGAGTGGCACGAAAAGAAGAAGAAGTCAAATTAAAAAACAAATATTTTATTTATAATTTATACCAACTAATTTAATTAAGTATATATTAACAGGGACTAAATAATATTCAATAATTAAATAAACTAAAATGCATTCATTGAGGGGAAAAAACAAACTAGGTGTCAGCGGCGGCCTGCCAGGTGAAGTAGGTGAAGGTGAGGTTCACCAAAAAAATATAATTAAATTGAGACAAATCAATAGAAAATAAAAGCAACATTAATATATCTAAATTCTAAAATCAATTATCTTTTCTCTTTTAATTAATCTAAAAATTAATACCACTTATTTTATACCGCTTTATTAGCGGTAGGTACTTGACGGTCAAGTTCTCACTGTGTCACTAGTAGTGTAGGATTCAGGAATTGGTGAATATCATTTTTAAAATGCGAAATTCATCTGCATAAGCGTTCACGGTTGCCATGGCAACGTGACGTCACCCTATCGTTAGTGATAGCTGAGAAAACTGGCGAGTTCAGATCCATTTAAAAAAAAATTATCCGTCTTCACCCACTAGTTGGATATGTATGTGGTATTATACCTATTTTTCGGAAATTTCTCTCAGCGACAATATTTTGAAATTTAGTCTATTATATAGATATTTTTTATATAGCATAGTATTTGTTAGTTTAGTTTAGTCACAGTATTAAGTTTATTTGTTTAGTGCACTTTATTAATACATTTTTCTGTGGTTTGTTTCGGATTTGGGATATAAAGTGTTCTCGTGGATTTCGTTTAGACAAAAATAATTTTAGACAGACATGAATCCAATTAATGACTTGGTGTTTAATATATTAGAGACTCCGTTTAGGCATTGGAAAAATGAAGATAAAAGGGATGTTCTTTTACATGGTCGACCAACCAGTATTTTAAACATAGGACTGAAAAAGGAAATTAAAACAGCAGGCAAGTCGTATAACATTACTTTTAAGTCTTCTTGGTTAACAGAATTCAATTCGTTGTGTAGTAGCACAGCATTGGAAAAATTGTATTGGTGGCCATGTCTCCCCTTTTCAAACAGTCTGTGTGGAATAGAGACGGTTTTGTTAATTTTTTGAATATTAATAGATCTTTGCATAAGCACGCAGATTCTGAAGAACATTTAAAAAATCAATTAATGTTTAGAAATTTCGAACCAAATCAAAATACGATTGCCGATGCCTTAAAAGAAAACGCTAGATTACATAAACTAAATTTTAATGAAAATTTTTGACTAAACAGGATTTGTTTGCGGACAGTTATTGACGCCGTTTTATACCTCAGCAAACAAGAGGGGACATGATGAGAAAAGTGACTCAGTAACAGTTGTAGTTTTAAGGAGTTATTAAATCTGTTAATTGTTTAAAGCCCTTTGGAAACTAAAAATCATTACGAAAAAATCAAAAATGTTTTTAGTGGAGAATCAAAAACAATTCAAAATGAATTAATTGGGTGCATTTCTGGTTATATAAATGATAATATTAAACTAAATAACTGATAACTGAAATTAAAAACAGTCCATTTTTTCCCTCCAAATTGATGATATTACTGACATAACGCAGATGTCGCAGTCTTCAATAATATTAAGATGCGCAAATTCTCAAGGACTATTAATTGAAAGGTTTATGGGATCTTACGATGTAAGTGCCGCTAGAACAGCTGAGCATTTGTTCACTATGGCTGTGACAGTTTTAGAGCCTTTGAAATACCGATCATAAGCTTTTAGGACAGTGTTACGATGGAGCCAGTGTGATATCAGTGCACTTAAATGGACTTCAAGAAAAGCATCATGCCCCACAAGTAATTTTTGTGCATTGTCTAGCCCATCGACTTAATCTTGTTTTGCAACAGCACTTTAAGGAAATATCAAAATGTCGAATTTTGTTAGCAACTATTAGCGGAATCCCATCGTTTTTTTCATAGTTCAGCAAAACGATCGTACGCTCTTGCATCTACATCGGCTAGACGTATGCCAACAATTACAGAGACAAGATGGTCGTCTATTTCAAAATTATTCAGTGTAATTTTTTTTCAGAGGTTTTTGATAATATAATGAATTCTGAAGAGTCAGACCACAAATCAGTTCAGCTGGCTAAAGGGTTTTTAAGAGATTTAATTGATTTTGAGTTTACATTTTTAGCAATAGTTTTTAGCGACATTTTTCATTCTGATATAGGTGGTACCGGGGAAATGAAATACTCGGGGAGGACCAAAACCAGTAAACACTGCAGTGTCTGATCCAGAGTGATCGGCTGCAATCAGCATCTGATCCAGAGTGGGCGGCTGAATCAAAACTCAACAAATTCGTTTTACCAGTCGTGGTGTTTTAATCGCCAAAAAAACCCTCAATGAAATGTCAAGGTTCAGAACTAAAACACCCCAGGCCAGCAGAACGAATCGTATCTAGTATATTCCTTTTGGCTCCAACAAGGTTTCCTCATTTTCACCACTTTTTTAAGCCACGAGTCGCCGCTGCTAGGTGTATGTAAATTATTAAGAAAACATTCCCGTTTCGAATATTGGTCACCATTGCTGTTAATGCTTCCATTTTTTCCTTTTCTGAAAAGCGTCTGCTATATACCTATTGTACTGCAGCCAAATGGTTTATTTTACATACTCCATTAACTATTGCACAAATCTTTGAAACTTGGGGAGACTAGATATATAAAAGCTCCTCGCCAATATCCGATCTTCTTCTTTAAGTCCATGTTCACGACGAACGTTGGCTATCATTATGTACTTTGTCAACACTTTGTTAAAGAAAATCGTTGTATTGTGACGCGTACGCGTATGCCTAAACACTCCATCACACAAATCGTGTGCTGGAACATAACGTTCGGAACATAATACGGAGAGTTTACACTCATATACAGCGGAAAAGCTAAACAAGAAAGAGCACATTAAGTAGTGGGAATTTTGCTGCACGATAAATACACTCAAAGCATCGAAGATATCGAATACATCCTTGGTAGGTTATTAAAAATCTCTATAAAAATGCGTAACATCACAACAAACCTGATAAGCACATATGCTCCAAACATATCCAAGTCCTCAGCAGAAACTGAAAATTTCTATCACCAACTATAAAACGCCGTAGATAGCATAAATGCTAAACACAAGATTATCGTATTCGGGGATCTTAATGCACGGATCGGAAACGATATCATACCAGGTATAAAACAAAAGTACAACGAAGAAATAATTATTGAAAACGGCGAAGAACTAACAGACTTTCGCGCTAGAAATGAAATGAGAATCAACAATACATACTTTCCTCATAAAGACCAACATAAATACACTTTTAACAATAATCGAGGCCAGCGATCAATGATAGATTTTATAATCACAAATCGAGTGATATCATCGTCCCAAGTACTTGCTGTCAGAGCCCTAACATCTGCTAATCTGGAGACCGATCACAACCTTGTTTTACGCAAGATGCTACTAGAACGTCCGCAACGAAACAGAAAATGCCCAATGCTTATCGGAAAACACAATATAGAGTCGCTAGCAACAGAGAATACAAAACTCCTTTATGAGAACAGGATTACCAGCAAACTAAAAGAGATCGAGTTACAACCAGAATGGCGAGTAGAAAATACTTGGTAAAAAATCAGGAAATGCATCAACCAAGCAGCAGAAGAAGCAATTGGAAAGCGGAAAATTAACACGAGCGGGATAAACCACACCAAACCGTGGTTTTGTCAAGAGGTAAAAGAACTCTCTGAGTTAAAACGCAAATGCTACCTGAGATATAAAAGCACACAATCGGAAGAAGCTCTCGCAGAATATGTCCAAGTAAGAAACGAAGTAAAAGCAAGAAGAAAATCAATCAAAAGAGAACATTGGGCTAAATTCACCAGCTACATGGACTACAACCTACATGGTGCCGAAAAGAAAGTATGGAAAATGCGTCGGAACAGAAAAAAACCAGTTAACGAGTTCGTGCAGACCAAAAGAGTACCTATAGAGACATGGCAACAGCATTTTTAAGAACTATATGATGCTGAGGAAACGCTGAATATAGACGAATACGAAACAGATATAAGTGCTACAATAAATGACGAAGAGGTAGAAGCAAAGATCAAGAAGTTAAAAAACAGAAAATCATCTGGAATAGATGGTATACCCAATGAACTCTTAAAGTATGGAGTCCCTGAACTTACACGAAAACTGTCACAACTATTTAACAAAATCTTAAATGAACAGAAACACCAGCGGAATTCCATAAGAGCATCACAATTCCCATTGATGGGAATTAAATCCCACTATAAAAAAGATGGTCCATAACCTAAATAACAACAATGTAATCAAAGTTAGAGCAGGAAACTAATTCACTGAAAATATGCCAACACCGGGAGGAATTAGACAAGGCGACAGTTTAAGCCCCTTCTTATTTAACCTACTTATGGGCAAAATTATAAACAAAGTAACATCTCTCAATCTCGGATACAGAATGGGCAACAAAAGAATTGGTATGGTGTATTACGCAGATGATGCAGCAATTATTGCCTAATCGGAAGATGGTCTTCAGAGACAGCTCTTTCAGTTCTTTCAAATAAACCGCCAACTAAATATGTCCATTTCTGCCAGCAACTAAATGTCTTACAATAAGAAAAGATCCGCATAGTGTAAGTTAGTTGTTGAGAACAAATCCATAGAACAAGTGATGCAATTTAGATATCTGGGCATAGATATATCAAGCACACACGACCCAGTAAAGGACCTAAGAAATCAGATCAACAAAGCATCCGCATTTTCAGGATGACTGAGGGAGATAGTCTGGTCAAATCCGTATATGCGCACAGATAGTAAAATTAGAATCTACAAGAAAAGTCTAAGAACAATAGTGGGCAAAACAAGAAAAGACAGGGTGAGAAATACAAACATTAGAGAGCAGTGCAAAATTCAAGATATTGTAAGATGGGGAAGGCAGCCTAAAAGTATATGGTACAATCATGTAAGACGTATGGATAAGAACAGACTCCCAAAAAATGCCCTAGAAAACAACCCACCCGGTTCAAGACCTCCATGAAGACCACCTAAAAATTGAGGGATATTTGGCAATCTACCTCCCAGGAAATTAACCAAAGGCAGCTTCAGAATTAAACAGATAGAAAGATCTCCAAAAGTAAAAGAAAAAGAAGAAGAAGAAGAAGAAGAAGAAGAAGAAGATATTACTTACCATTAGTATACCAAGTATTTTCGTTGATCAAAATCATCAATCTGTTATCTAGTTCTGATAGTTCTTCTTCAATTAAATTAAATTCATTAGGAGTGGTATTTACTTTTAAATAATTATACCATTCCACAATGCGTCTAAGCATGGCTATAGTATCCATAAGTGTTTTAGTCAAATCGAAGACGTCCATTGCTTCTTGAGGAATGTCAGGAATATTTTGCAACTTCATGTATCGTACTTCCCGTAAAATCGCCTCTAGTTCCGGATCAAAGTTGAGCTCTAGTCGAAGATTAATATCCTTAACCAACTGGAATTTGGACATGCTAGTTTTTATTTGATCGGGGACGTTTTGGCACCAAGAACTAAATACGCTTCTTTGTTCTCTATCCAAAATATCCAACATTTCATCCAACTTCTGAAAAACGAATGCAGCTTGCTCAGACTGAACTATTTTGTCCTCTACTAATCTAAATTGACTAGCTGGAATTGAAATTCTTTGTCTAAGCTTGTTAATCCACAGTAAAGTGCCCGCTACGGGAGGATAATATTTTTCCAGTGGTACTCCCTTTTCCTTCCCTTCATCGTATAGTTGTTTTACTGTATCAAGTTCTTTATGGAACATATCGATAATAACTGGAAACTTAGCGGTTAACTCTTCTCCTATTAACGATCTTTGTAACAGTACTCCAGCTACATTAATAAATTTAAATACCGCTTCCAGATTATAACAATCATCAAATGCTTGAGAAAAAATAGCTGCCAAACGTCTGTCTAGATCAGCACAACTGCTTTGAAAATTATGAGCGTCACCTAAAATACCTTCATCTTTTAGATCCAGTACTTCATAGGTTATATTATTAAATAAATTATATAGCTTATTAAAGTCTTCAAATACTTCTTCGACTTTTTGACTTAATAATCGGCCTTTAATGCCACCTATTTCAACTTTTTCGAGCTTACTGAACTCTAGTTGAGTTCCCAAAATGTCCTTTAATATTTTTAAACGCTCAGTAAAGTCAAGAAGACGTTGAAATACAACTCTTCTGTGAAAGTTCCAGCTTTTTCTTACAATCGGTTCTTCAGTAAGAAGCGAATCTGGTATGGTATCATAATACGAATCCAAATTCTCTCTAACATACTCAAAAGAATCCATGAATTGTTGAATAAGCTCGATACTGGTAACAATCTTTCTATATATATCTTCAGTATCTCCTTGAAATATATTGTCAGGGTCCAAAGCTACTTCAGCGGACGCAATTATCATATTGGAAATCATTTTAAGTAAGTTAATTATTCTGTCGTTTGTAGAATAGTATCTTGAATTTGCCCAGATTAATCCAACGCAATGTAATAGTGGATTTATATGACTAGCTATCTCAAAGAAATCTTCTTCAAAATTTCCGATATGCGGTTGAAGGCACTTAAGATACATACTTATATCTCTTGCTTCGACAAGAGCTGCTACAATATTTTTATACAACGTTTTAAACATCGCTAAACAAGAACTGTTTGTTAGTTCTAAAAATTCGCCAGCTTTTTGTACCCTTAAATCAGTCAGCTGATCATAAATTGACTGTAAATTCTTTTTTCTGGAATTCCAAAAGTAGATTTCGTTAGTGGGAGTAGGATTAGCGCCATCAGCAAAAACTATAGATGATGATTGATTTAAAACTTCGTTACATACTGTTGACCACTTCATTACTGCATTTTCCAATGCATTTTTTAGCACAAAATCCACTTCTTCACCGTTGGTTTCATGTAATCCAAGAACAGCTTCGAATACGTTTCTCATTTCTGAAGGAATCGGCAATATGGTTATGCTTTTCATTGCTCCGGTCACCTAAAAATAAAATTGAACTTAAATTAAATCGCTTATTTCAGAAATAATCTAAGTCACATTCGGACAGTTTTCAGGAGATGAAAAAAACGTTATGAGAGTCCTATATGTATACATGCATAATATGTTACTTTAAAATCATAACGAAAGCTTTTCTTCCTTAAATTGAAGGTGTCATTGACAAAATTGACAAAATCTTTAAATCAAGAGGAATAAAGACAATATTTATCCCCAACAAAAACTTCCATCTCTTGTTCGATCGATCAAAGACAACATTTTAAATGAATAACACGGAGTTTATGAAATTCTTTGTGCAAACAGCCCCCAATCTTATTTAGGCTTAACAAACGGTACAATCCAAACTAGAATTTTTAGAACATTCCATTTCTGTTAGCAATTCTGATTTAGTTTCAGCTCTAGGTCAACACCATCTTTATACAAGTCACATTTTTTTTAAACTCCAGAACTATAGCTCAATCCGCTTCTATAAACCAAGAACTATTCGAGAAACCATAGAGATTGAAAAAATGGCAAATTGTCTCAATAAAAGAGATGGCGGCATCTGGTTATCTTCGACATAGAGACCTCTCATTTCGAAAATATCATCTGCTTCAATTTACGACGTCAGAAAGGATGTCGAAAGCTCGGCGCAGTGATAATCGACGTGGTTCAACCCGGATGCCTGGTGAGTTTAATATTAAACTTTGATAGTATACAAGGCAACTATCGAACACAGTGATTAATTAAATCTTGCCCAAGTACTTTCGATCAATAGATCATCTTAAGGGGCATCTGAAATAAGCCAAGAAACGTTTTTTTATAAGAAGGAAAATTAATTCACTTGGATAAAAAACTCCAAGTTTATGGTTGAAAAAAGTTTTTATGTGATAAACGTTTATAGACTTACTTCGTCAGTTGTGGCCTATCCGACATGAGTAGCATGTCATACATGTAAATTTGGGCATAAAAATACAATACACAAAGACAAACAAACACTTTAAATTTTTTTAAAAAATAGGGGCTACATGTTATATAGAAGCCGGAGACAGAATGGGCTCCCGGTCTAGCGGAAATGTTGAGATGACATGTGACAAATGACAGCTTGTAAAGGGCAGTTATGTGATCTGCACCTTTCAAAATTCTATGTCTATGTATAACAGTAGTAAACAAAGTTTGAGCTTTTTGATGGGATAGTCGTTTTTGAATGGTAATGGGGTTAGACTCATTAGGAGATCGGGAGCGAGGCAGTTGTAATTTGGCCATCGAAGGATGGCCATCGAAGGCCAACAGTCGTTTGTTTAAAGATAGGGTGTAGTTTTGAGTTTGGATACCGGCATGGTGAAAAGAAGTGAATAGTTTTGCTGGAGATAACAAGTAGATTAGAAGAGGTCAGTGTATCTACCTTGGGCATTTTATGAAGTATATGTAAAAGTAGTTTTAACGGCATCAAGTTGACAAAAGGAGGTCCTTGTGTCATAAATAAGTAGCTGAGTTTTTGGAGAAGTGAATCAGGTGTTTTTGGGTAGTCTGCAGGAGGTTTGCAGAGACGTTAGGAAGGAGCCGAGGTGCCAAAAAGGAGAGATCACATCGTTGAGGAGACTGGACTTTTCTGGGTATGTTCCAACATACAATTCAATAAGGAGAAAAGCTGTAAGTGTTTTGTACAATTGAAATTGGTATCTTTGACGGATTTGTGTTGATATCATGATCATTATCATTCAAATTTAAAAAACTGAGTTTTGTTAGACTAATCAAAAGTTTAAAGTTTTGTTGTTTTTTTTTGTTTCAAGTAAAGGAAAGTTTAATAAAAATTGTTTTTCATTTAATATAAATGTATGTAGATTTAAAATCTTATTATTATAAAAATTTCATTTAATTTCTTGTATGCTGATTGATAAGATAACGGCAGAATTTGATAATTGTTTTATACTTTTTCATATAAAATAAAGAATACTTAACTTTTTGTAATATACTACTCTCGTTTATTATTATCCTTCTTCTCTATCCCGATAAAGGACGACTAGAAAATATTTGAATCCATTGAACACAAATAATATAAGGAGTTTTATTTTACATTTGATAACAATTAAGTTATATTTTTTGATTGGCTCAATAAAGTAAAATCAAAGTCAAGATAAACAATCATAAAATATATATATATATATATATATATATATATATATATATATATATATGAAACTGCTTAGAAAGCCAAAAGAGATACAAACCTTGTAGACTTATATAATTAACAAGTGCTTAAATATAAATAGATACCTGCTCCACGGTGTTTTTAAAACTTCTCACATGATTAACAACATCATTGGCCACAACTTTGGGCCATCCCTTTTGATTCTCAACATTGGACAAGACTGGTACGAAAACACCGTCCAATAAAATTCCCATCTCTTCTATTGGTCTACCTGCCATGTCCCCGAAACATAAAATGTCTCGAAAATTTTCCATAGTGACAACTTCTTTCTTTTTTCTGATAAAATATGTGAATTTTTGTTTTACTTGTGGAGTGAAACTTGTTAATGGGGTTAGTTGGCCGGTAAGTGGGATGGTTAAAATGAGCATTCTCTCTTCCGGGTTGTTTAAGAAGTTCAATATCAATTTCTGAAAATTAAAAAATATTAAAATATAAAATACAATATACAAATATGGTATTTATATGGGATTAAACCACAATTTCGCAAATCAGATAAAAAAGTGTCTAGGGTTTTTACGACGAACTCAGACTATCTATATATCAGATAGATGATGGATGAATTCTAATTGATTTATGGGGATTACAAGAAAATATTTTGACAGACATGCCACTTCCGGCTATACCGGAAGTAAACAGCGACTAAGTTATTTCAAATAGAACACCCACATTACTTCATTTTTAGATTTTACGTAAAACTCTTAAAGAGAAGAACATTCGGACGATCACCAATTTATACTGGAACCAGCGTGCTCAAGTCAAGGTGGAAGACCAGCTGACCTACCAAGTGAAGATCATGTGAAGGGTAAGGCAAGGCTGTGTGCTCTCGCCGACTCTTTTCAATATATACTCTAAGAAAATTTTTACTGAAGCCCTCACAAACCTAGAGATTGGAATCCAAGTCAACGGTGAATACATCAATAATATCCGCTATTCCGATGACATTGTGTTACTAGCAGCTAGCCTAAATGATCTAAAAGCCTTACTAGACCGAGTAGGAACTGTGAGCGTAACATACAGACTGGACCTTAATATTAAGAAAACTAAATTCATGGTTGTCAGCCGTGCAAATTTAGATCCCGGGGCAATAATAGCAGGTAGAGTAGAGATCCAGAGAGCTGACAGATTCACTTACCTCGGAACTACCCTCAACTCACAATGAGACTACGCTCAAGAGATTAGATCCAGAATTTAAATGGTACGATCTCCATTTATCAGGTTGAGATCCTTGCTGTGCTGCAGTGATATCAGTTTGGGAACCAAGATGCGGATAGTGAGGTGCTACATTCTTCCAGTGTTACTGTATGGAGTTGAAGCCTGGACACTGACGCAAGCCACCGAAAAGCAGATTGAAGCCTTCGAGATGTGGATCTACAGAAGGATACTAAAAATATCGTATGTGGACCATGTCACCAACGTTGAGGTCCTACAGCGCATGAGAAAAGAAAAAGAAGTGCTTAATTTAGTGAAATAACGTAAGCTTGAGTACCTCGGGCTTAAGTACCTCCGACAATAGTTTGGGATGACTCCCGCGGAGCTGTTTCGCATAGCAGTCAACAAAACCATAATAGCCTTAATGATTGCCAACATCCGGACCGGATAAGGCATTAAAGAAGAAGTAAAACTCTAAACAAAATTTGTATAAGGACCCCAGTTCAGAAGTCATCTTTTATAAAAATTTTGATAGAGACAAACTTATACTTATCCATTTACAAACATAATGTCCAAAACTTTTGTACAAAACGAATAGGTAACGTTCTTTCAGGAATATACATCGAAATTCTAAATACAGGGTGTTCACAAATAATACGCCATTTCTTTAAACTACAAATCATAGTAAGTCAATAATCTTAAATAAATCACCCTGTATTATATAATTTTAACGAAAAAGGAAATCAGTTGTCTTTTAAATAGTAAACTTTAAAAAATTAAGGCAAATATCGAGCACAAATTTAATAATCAAATCTTGTCCAAGTACTTTCGCTTTCTACAGCATCATCAGGGGCATTTCGTCAAAGATGATGCTGTAGATGCTGTCATTTTTTTTTTCTTGAGTACCCCACAGCTTGGGGTTTTTTATGCTAAGTTGGTGACCTCTTTTAAAACTCCAGAACCACTCATCCCCAGGAGTGTTATCCTTAAATGGAGTTTTTATGTCAACAATCTCTACTACTTCCAATCTGGATGTTCAAAATCCTCCACTGCTTCATAGTTTTTAGTCCTTGGACCAATCTAGACTCATCTTGGAGTGGAATCACTGGAACCCTCCCTTGCGATTTGCTTTTAGCTCCTCGAGCGTCTATGTATCTGTTTACACCTATTTCTCCTTAGTTGAGGAGACATGTCGTGGAATGCAAATTTTAGATTCCCCATATCTCTTTTAACATCTTTATCAACGTCTGTTTACCTTGCAATTTTTAGAAGGTTCAGATTAAAGCAGAAATCTGAATTGGTGTCGAAACTATTTTACGGATTTATTATCAGATGTCGCTATTGCGTCCATATCGAAGCCATTTTAATGTTGCTTCTTAAAGACAGAAAAAAATTATTTTTCACGTTGAGAACGCCTATGAATAGTGTTCTGATGAGGCCTATTAGGCGGAAATGCGTATAAACGGATACATAGACGCTTTGTACGTGAAATCTAATATTTACTGTCTTTTTCATTACATTTATCTTCTTCTTCTTCTTACGGTGCCTTATCCTTAAGGACGTTGGCCATTACATTTGCCCATTTAATCTTATTTGTAGCAGCCCTGAATAGTTCTATGGAGGTCATGTTCATCCATTGCCGTAGGTTTTAAGCCAAGAGTTGCGTCTTCTTCCTGGTCCTCTTTTGCTATTGACTTTGCCTTCGATTATAAGTTGGAGCAGTTCATACTTTTGATTTCTTATGATGTGACCAAAATATTGTGTTTTTTGTTCTTTTATTATAAGCATAAGCTCTCTTTCCTTATTCATCATCCGCAAGACTTCCGCATTTGTCGTATGGCTCATGTAGGATATTCTGAGCATTTTACGGTAACACCAGAGTTCTAATGCTTGGATTCTTTTTTGTGTTGCTTCTGTCATTGTCCAGGCTTCAACATCATAGAGCAAGGTGGAGAAAACATAGCACTTAAGTATTCTAGTTCTCAATGAGATGCCCAGCTGGCGGTTGGATAGAACTTTTTGCATTTTGTAAAACATTGTACGTGCCTTTTTCGTTTAATTACATTTATAACAATACTCAACTAATTTTTTGCACAAACTGGATACTCAAACGACTTTACAACCAATTCCGTCGAAAGCAGACTTTTAAATGTTAGTTTGTCATCGTACAACTCTCTTCAAATTAAAAAACAATTATCGATAAATAACAGGTAGAAAGTTATATAAATTCCAAGTAATTTGTTAATAGGTCAATTAAGTTAAACCTTTACTCATCATAACTGTAGTTACTGTATCAAATTATTTTTGTCCCCGGAATGCGTGATTTAATTTTTGACATACCTTTTTGAAACACCCTGTATAAATACACGTGTTGGTTATTCTATAAAACATACGAAATCCTTCGTATATTTCACTTTATCTTCTATCTTTTATTGAAAGTGAGTGACACACCCTCGATTACAATGATGTATTTTACATGTTTCTTTAGGCATTTCCTCTATTCCATTTTAAAATGAGGTTGTCACGAGTATCGTGTTTAAATAATATATATGTAATATTATGCCAAAACATAAAATATTCTATTATTTTTAATCCCTTATCTTTTTACCGGTCAGAACCGTGTCTCTATTTATCTCTGATGTCTCTGTTTGTTTAACACGTTACCATTTCCTAGCCTATTATTATTCTTACCGATTAATTAAATTTTCCGTTTATCCGTATGTCTGGATATCAATTTAATTATTTTTTAATGTTGTTTTTATTATCGTTTATTAGCTGAATTATTTCGATGATTCTTCTTCTTTAAGTTCCATCTTCTATCGAAGGTTGGAAATCATCATGGCTATGCGGACTCTGTTGACTGCCGCTCTAAAAAGTTCTGCACTACTGCATTCAAACCATTCCCTCAAGTTCTTAAGCCAGGATATTCTTCGTCTTCCCACATTTCGCTTTCCTCGGATTTTGCCCTGCATAATAAGTTGTAATAATGCGTATTTTTGCCCTCTCATCACATGTCCCAAGTACTCAAGTTTTCGTCTTTTAATAGTTAATATTATTTCCGCCTCATTTCCTATCCTTCTAGTTACTTCCATGTTTGACATTCTTTGAATCCATGATATTCGTAGGATTCTTCTGTAACACCAAAATTCAAAGGCGGCCAACTTATTCAGATGAACTTGTTTTAGTGTCCAAGCTTCTAGACCATAAAGAAGAGTAGAGAACACGTAACATCGAAGCATTCTCAGGCGTAGTTCTAACCTTATATCTCGACAACAAAGAAACTTTTTAAGTTTAATAAATGATGTACGTGCTTTTTCAATACGTGTCTTAATTTCTTTGGTTTGGTCTACATCTGATGTTATCCATGTTCCTAAGTATTTATAGTTATTAACACTCTCAATTGCAGTATCTTCAATAGTCAATTGGATATTTGCATGTGCAGATTTAGTCATGATCATGCATTTAGTTTTCTTTAAATTTATCTTCAGTCCGTACTCAAAAGTTCGTAAGTTATTCAAAACTTCTCCATTGATAGATATACTTTCTATTGAGTCTGAGAGCGCTTCTTGAAATACCGCTTCACTGTAGACATTAAAAAGTAGTGGGGACAGCACGCAACCCTGGCGGACTCTTCTTTGTATTTTGATATTGGTAAAGAGCGACTGATTATGCCAGTTGACGAAAACGCTCAGTCTAAAATATTATATTACGTTACAACTGATGAATTATTTGATATACGTGGACGCAATCGTATGGTTTCCGAAATAAATAAACTTTATTGTAATGTCACTAAGGAAACAATAATGGTTTATCTACGACTTTGTATGCAGTGTCAGAAAAAGAGTAGTAACCCAAGAAAAGGTTTGGTTTCGAAGCCAATTTTGCATTCAAAATTTAATTCACGCGCTCAAATCGATTTGATTGACATGCAGTCACAAAATTATAATGATTTTAGATTTATAATGATACACCAAGACCATCTTACGAAATTCGTAATCTTGAAACCTTTAAAAATGAAAAAGGCTGAAGAAATTGCACTAAACTTGTTGGAAATTTACACAACGTTTGGTGCACCTCTTATTTTACATTCCGATAATGGGCGAAAATTCGTTAACTCAGTTTTAACCAAATTACACACTATGTGGCCGGAAGTAAAAATTGTTCACGGAAAACCCAGACACAGCCAAAGTCAGGGGTCAGTTGAGCGAGCAAACAGGGATATAGAAGGAATGTTAGGGGCATGGATGGATGAAAATCA